TTTTTTTTTTTTTGCAAAAATACAGTCAGAGTAAATGGATGGTAGAAATGGAAGTCTATCATACAGTTTATCTTTATTGTGATAAGAATTGTGATTTATTGTGAAAATGCTAAACTCTAACTGAAAATGTTTGCCAATCCCCCAAAATGACAGTATGGTTTGAAATGTAGCATTTGCTATTTTCCACTTTTGTTTCATGAGAGTTATTTAGTTAGAAGTAGAACATCATTATACTAAACATAGAACTAAATACCAGTGTTGTGCGCTTGTGTATCCAACTTTTAGGACACTGTTTTGGAACCTAACCCTGCTGTCTCCACTCAGTCTTTACCGCGACCTGTTTGATGTGTTCCCTGGTATTCAGGCTGTATGTTTAGAAATAGTCTCAAACAAACCTCTTAGACCTTCAAAGAACAGCTGTATGGTGATATTGAATGACACAGTGTCTGGTGGATACTTAATTAATGAACTGATTGTAAACCATGTAGAATTATATTTCCACTTCACTTTTAGTCACTACTTTAATTTGCTCTACCACATGAGCAGCCAATGACATGTTACAATGAAACTTATGGTTGTAATGAGAAACTGTGAACAGGTATATCAAGTATGTTGTCAGCATTTGGTCGTTTTTCCAAAACCTATTTAACATTTATTTTAATAACCAAAGACATGCTTACCTTACTGTTATATCAGGTAACACACTGGGATATTCAGACGGATAGGCACAGGTCAGAATAAACTCCGTCTAAGAACAAGTTAAAATAGAAAAGACTAAATAATCAACCTTTATAAATTAACAACTTTTAGCTTATCATTACACACTTATTACCTCATTCATAACTGAAGAGTCCAGTCTCTGTTTGATGAAAAACTGGGGTCTGGAGGGAGGAGGCTTTTCCCCAGAAGCCGAGTTTTCCACGTAGCTCCTAAGTTCAGCCAAAGCCAGCTGGTCGGTGAGCTCCAGCTCGTCCTGACCGGGAAACATGCTGGTTAGCAGCTCAACTTCAGCGAGTTGAGACTCGGCCCACTCCATGTAAGACATGTTTTAAAAACAAATTGTGACGTCGAGTTACATTTATATTAACCCGACCTCGAAATCCTAAATAATTTTCTAGTTAACTCCCGGAGATTTCAACTCGGACATTTACAAACGGCGCACACAGGAAGTAGTCGACCATTACTAACGGTCCGTCAACACTTCCGCCATAATGTGAGTGGTTTATTGGTTCCTTTTGGAAAGCAAGTGTGCATATATTTGCTTCTTTCCCAAAGGAAACAAACACATTAGCTTACGTTAATCTTATTTGATTAAGAATTTATATAACAGAAAGGTATGCTCATTTTGTGTAGCATGTTGATCGATGAGACAAACATTTAAATAGTTCTACTTGCGTGCTTGGCCTACCTGTGAAAATCTATTCACTTAATTTGACTCAGTTTCAAGATAATGGTCATATTTTAAAATATACTGTGTGTGCGTGCGTGTATGCGTTCTTCAATACAAAATGCCACTCACAATATGGGGGGCGTCATTCGCGTATGATCCCGGAAGTTCATGTGGCTTCTTTCACACACATCACATTTTTGTTCCTCTCCTGGCCGCATGTGTGTCATCTGGTGTTTTTGAATCAAATCACCGTATCGCTCAGATCCAAAGTTATATGTATTTTGTATACGTCTAATCGTTCCTGTTTCTATTATCGAAAATAAGTTAATGATGTCCGGACTTAAGAGCCCAGCTGAACAAAGTAAACGAAACTGAAAACGGTAAAGGCTTTAGCCTCTGTGTGCGACAGTAAGTTGACTTTAAGAGTTTCTGTCACATTTGTTCTTTTGAAATGTTACAGTGTTGTGTGACTCGTTGTAGACGTTCTTAGGTAAACCTTGTCTCTTTTGACATTCATCACTAAATTAATTGACTTAGGTAAAGAATGGGAAAGAAGAGGGGGAAAGACAGGAGCTGCAGAGAGGATGAAGACGTTGAGTTCACAGGTACATTTTGAAGTCAGATGACTTGGATGTTATTTAATAACCTCCTGAAAAATATAAAAATGTTTTTTTTTTTTTTGTTTTTTTTTTTATCGCATAGGTCCTTCCTGCAGACATATTAGGAAAGGCACTGACCAAACTCTTATAAAGAAACTGCCTGCTGTTTCTGATTGGACGAGATGTCAAGAATGCAAGCCTGAGGACAATAAAGAAAATATTAGTATGACCAAGTCAGAGGAATCTGAAGAGGAAACAGTTCCTTTATGGATGTGCTTAAAATGTGGACATAGGGTGGGTTTATAATAGGTCTTTATTGCACTGATTTTTTTTATTTTTATTTATTTTTTTTCAGTGTATAAATCTTTTTAGATGACTACTCTTTTGCTTCTTACTAGGGGTGTGGGAGAAATTCTGAGAACCAGCATGCCATCAAGCATTATGAAACTCCTCGGTCAGATCCACATTGCCTGGTGGTCGGTTTGGACAACTGGAGTGTGTGGTGAGCATGTTTTTTGTGTGTGATAAACAGCGACAAATATAATGTATTAAAACCACCGGCCTTTTGTTATATATTTTATTTTCTTCAAGGTGTTACATATGTGATGATGAGGTCCAGTACTCAGGTACAGGGCAACTGGCACAGCTGCTGACCATCCTGAAAAAACAATTTTCTACAGATCCCATGAAGAGACCTCAGAAAAGTAGGTTGTAGTGAGTAACTGGATGTTTTATGCAAATATGGGATTAAATGTTTTTATTATTTAGTAGATTTAGTAGATTTAATGTTTACTAAAAAAATAACTATTCTCCACCTGAATGCGGAGAATAAAGTTATTGTGAAGATGTAGTCTACAAAGACTACATCTTCACTTAATTGCTCTTTCTAAAGGTCATCCATCTTTTCTATTAATAATAGGGAGGCTTTAAAATTCTTGTGGAGACAAAGCACTTGTTCACAGAGAGGACAGGAAAAGTCATAATTTTTCAGCCCAATGAAGTAAATGACATGCACTTTGTATGACCAAATTGTTTTCCCTATTTAGGAGTGAAAGAGGATGTGGATCTGATGGAAATTAAACCAGAGACTGAAGCTGTAAACACAGAGGAAAGTGAGGACAATGAGAACAAAGATGGCAGCAACAGGCGGAAGAAAAACATCAAAAAGGAGAATGCTGTAAAACCCCAAAACCATAGCGCACCCGAAGAAAGCTGCAGTGTTCCAGTGAAAGGGTTGAGCAATCTTGGAAACACGTGTTTCTTTAACGCAGTCTTGCAGGTAAAGCCGTGCCTTTAGCATATTTTAGTCTCGAGAGAAGTCGGAGTTAATCATTCTCATCACTGTCCATTTGCAGAATCTTTCTCAAACTCAGCTCTTGAGACAAATTCTCAACAAAGTAACAGAAGAGAAAATGAGCCTCGACATTAAACCTGACGCCTCCTTGAATCTGGTATGTTTTCACTGTGCACAGCCACTTCATTACCCACGTAGACCTCACCCAGTTTTTAGACCGTCACTAATAAAACATATTTATTCACTCTGAGTGCAGGAGCCCATCCTAGTGCAGTTAGACCAGCCTGGGTCTCTTACATTGGCTATGTGTAAGCTACTCAATGAGATCCAGGAGTCTAAAAGGGGTGTGGTAACGCCGCGCGAGTTGTTCACACAAGTTTGTAAAAAGTAAGTGTCATTATTATTTAAGTTGGAAGTGCTGTGCTTTACTTTTGGTTCTGTCCCTGGATGCATTAGAAGTTGTTCATCATTTCCTCTAATCTCTGCAGGGCTGCCAGGTTTAAAGGATTTCAGCAGCAAGACAGCCAGGAGCTTCTCCGCTACCTGCTGGATGGGATGAGAGCTGAGGAACTTAAAGTATGCATGTTTTTAACGGAGTTCCCTTCATGTCAAACCAGAAATAAAGTTTCCTCTGGAACTATGCTACACCAGACACAGTATTTGTAAATAGTGATTCTTATAAGTCCAATAAATATGGAACATTATAATGTCCCATATTTAGTACACAAAATAATCATATTACAAAACAGTTACTGAGTCTGGCTGTAAGACTCATATCTGTACTGTGTTGTACTTATGATTTTTTTTTCATAATTTATGTCTAAACTTTGTTCTGCAGAGAGTAAGCACGGGAATAGCAGAGAGTTTGAAACAGTCAAGTAAAGTTTCAGATGAAGAAAAGATAAAAGCTGCAGTTAAAGGTAAGTTGATTAGACCTGGTGTGGTCTATCTTGCATGCATCAAAATCGATGTTTTGATTTTGGTTTAGTAGTCTTAACTGTGTTTCCTTACATTTTATTTTTTAAAGAGTATGAGAAAAATGGAGTTCCTAAAAACTTTGTGGATCAGGTTTTTGGCGGTGAAATGACCAGCACGATAATGTGCCAGGAGTGCAAAACGGTGAGTGCTTGTAGCACAGAACTCATTCACATTTCTTCCATAGTTTGTCACAAACTTGCATGTGTTTTATTTGGATTTTAACTGCTATGCTAGCTAACACAAAGTAAACAGTCATTGGGAACTTGCAGGAAAATTGTATATGGTATTTGAAAGTTTTCATAAAAGAATATAAACCAAACTCAGTCATATCTGAACACTATTTTTCAAATCTGGCCTGTTTGTAGTTTCTTCTACCATCTCATAAACTCTGACCATCAGGAAAACCCTGCCACTTTGTCCACTTCAAAATTACATAATGCAATGTAATTATGATTACATAAGATCCAAATTAAATACATTGAAGCTTTTGATTGTAAAATGACAAAATATAATATTCCATATCACTGTACAGAATAATAATATTAAAAATAATAATAATAATAATAATTTATTTTTTTTCAGGTGTCTGTTGTCACAGAGATGTTTTTGGATCTTTCCCTTCCTGTTTCCGATGAGGTGAATCAAATGTTTTCCTTTGACCGTGTGTTGATATTTGTCCTAGAGATGTTTCCATTAACATGCTTGTGTGTCTTTTTGACAACCTCTTGCAGGCGTACAGAAAGAAAAAAACCCAAAAAGTGTTGCCTAGGACCAGTGAATCAAGCCAAGATGAGAGAAACGGCTCTGATTTGATCAGCGAGAATGACAATTCTACAACTGTGGGCAGCAGCAAGTACCAACAGAAAAAGGCTAAAAAGCAGGCAAAGAAGCAAGCAAAGGTATTTCATTAATTGCAAATGTGTCTTTTTTTTTTTGGAGCTTTTGTATAAATTAATCTTTCCGGTGTGTAAAAATAAGTTTAAATATACATTGTGGGGTTTTTTTGTTTTTTTTTTTAGCATCAGAAACGTCAGCACAAGCTTGAAACCAGAATAACTTTAGGAAATCTGACATCTCCAAGCAACGCAGACGGTGACCAAATTGATGTTACAGAAGATGCAAAGGACACAGAGAATGCTGACCAAATGCCACATGAGGAAGTCTCACTGAACGAACAAGATCCTAAACCTGTCTGTGAATTTGAGCAGGATCAGAATGTCGAGCAGGAGAACGGGGAAGACAAGGATTCACCGAGTGACGATGTCTCATTAGCTGACTCGTCAGTCAGCAACCGTTTTACTGTCTTGTCAGAGGAGCAGCACTCGCACGACAGCACTTCATGTAACGAAACGTCCAACACGGATCTGGAAGGAGAACTGGACACACAGTTGGCAGGTCAACTGCAACAAGTGACTCTGAATGATGCATTCATAGAGGATCTCGATTCCATGGATCCAGCCGAAGAGAGTGAAGACGAAGTGGAGTACACCATAATAAACCAAGACCCAGAGCTGGCCTTCAACACCCTGTCCACCAGGACAAGCCCAGAGAAACAAGAGTGTTCTGTGCAGTCGTGTCTTTTTCAGTTCACCGAAGTGGAAACGCTCACACAGAACAATAGCCTGCTGTGTGTCGCTTGCACTAAGCGACATAAGAAAGGCGAAAAAACTGGAGGTATGAAGGTTTATGCGTCGTACTAACATGACCCACAAATATTTAGTGTTTTTAAAAGTGACTAAATGTAATAAAAAAATATTATGTTTTTATGGATTTAGGATCTAAAAAGAACATCTACACTGATGCCTTGAAGCAAATGTTGATCTCCTCCCCACCGTCTGTACTTACCCTTCATATGAAAAGATTTCAGCAGGTACGACAGCTTGATAAAGTTTATTTAAGCCTTTTTTAAAATAATAATAATAATAATAATAACCTTTGTCTTTTTCCTGTAGAACGGTTACAGCATTTGTAAAGTGAACAGACACGTTCAGTTTCCTCTGATTCTGGATCTTGCTCCCTATTGTGCAGCCAAATGCAAGGTTAGTGCTGGAAATATTTCTTTATGTTTTGAAAACAAGCAGTTTTGCAATTACTGACAAATATTTTGTTCCACACAGAATATTTCTGAAGGAGACACTCAGATTTTGTACAGCCTGTATGGCGTCGTAGAGCACAGTGGGACTATGAGGTCAGGTCATTACACAGCCTATGTAAAAACTCGACCCGACTCTCTAAAATCCTCATCAAATGGTAAACAAGGTAGGTGCAGTTGAGTATGTCAGTCAGTAGAACAGATCGTTTCTGAAAATAGTATTGGTGCCCTTGAAGTTCTTCTGCATTTGAATCACAGTCTTCCATGAAATCTTAAAATATAAAGCTAGTGAAAAACATACTCAAAGACTTGCAGCAAAACATGATTCTACAAAGCAATATCTCCCAGGGTGTGAATACAAACATATGCCACATTTTGTAAAACATTTTTTTCATAGATTTTTATTTCTACAGTAATTTAAAAACCACATATCACTTTCCTACAGTAAAACACTACTTTTGTGTTTGTTTTCACATAAAGTTCATTTTTAATGTCTACTTTTGCAAGGTATATTACATTCAGTAATGAACAATTTCCCTTTCAGGAGAGACAGACCTTCCCAGAGGATCCTGGTTCCATATCAGTGATACTAGTGTTCAACCTGTCAGTGAAAGTAAAGTTCAGAGCTGCCAAGCCTACCTCCTGTTCTACGAAAGAATCCTCTAATTTAACTGTGCATATATATACTCAGGAAAGACCAACCGACTTGCTGCTTCAACTCCATGCACATGAAATCCTATCTTGGACTTGTATAAGTTTTGCATAAAGAATATTTGACCAAAAAAATATTTGAGTTACTTGTTCTGCTAAATATGTCATTATATTCAGCATAATACACATTAAGCCAACTGGGAAATGAGGGACGAATGATAATCTACGAAATCTATAAATGCCTGCGTTTATTTTTTATGATAATTTCTCATGTAATTAAAAGCTTTAAAACCGGAGTCTTTTTGTGTGGAGTCGTTCTCTGACGTTCACTGAGCATGCGCAGTAAGCGCTGTTTGGTTTTCCTGTTTCTAATGTCACATGATAAGAGGAAAGTCCAGCTTCGGTCGACCACAATCTCTTTCCCAAATTTACTTATGTCAGTGTCAGTCATCTAACATGGCAGGTCAGTGAATGTTTAACTCTTTTCTAATAAACATCGTTCGTTTAAAGTTATTGACGGATGCTCCTTTTCTAAGGCAACAATAGAAAGGAAGATGTAGTTAAAGCTAACGGTGTGGCCCGCCTATCGCAAAAAAAAAAAAAAAAAAAACGTTTTGTAAACATTCATGAATCTGTAAATGTCATAAAGATTTTGGTTTTGAAAGGAAATACGTAGGAGTCTGAAGAATTTTCAGATATTCGGCGCTTTCCGTTGCTACTCTTGCTTCTTGGCAAAACATGAGTCAGCATTTTTTTTGCTGTTGAACTTATTTAAAGCTGAAGTGTTAAACTTTAATCCATTTTGTGGGCAGGCAAGTACACATTGATAACCCTGCAACTAATTTCAAATAGGTATGTTCACCATAGTATTAACAATCGCAGATTTCTTGTATAAAATATTTACTTTTTTTTTTCTTTTGTATTTTTAATCTAATCTAAACATATCAGCTGTTTGTTCTCTTTGTGTCTCTACAGGTACCAGTAGTAGCAGTAGAACATAAATGCGTTGTATTTTGTCATACTCTTAATGTATTGCCATTAGTTTATTTTGATTATGACTTTGAAACCGAAAGCTGTCGATTATCTTGATTATGACGTAATAGAGTATGTCGCAATCACAATCGAAATAGAAAAATTAATAGATATCAAAATGTTTAAAATATTAACAAACTTTTGAAGCATATTGATAAAGCATATTTTGTGAATAAAACAATGTTATATTCACCCGCATATACTTAGAGGCGAGGGACTAAAAAAATGCTGATTGTAATTATGAAATCGACCTCAGCTAGAAGATAATGCCTCTTAGCCAATAGCATTTATTGTTTAAAACCTCTTGCCGTTATCAGACTGCAATATTTGCAGGTCATTAAAGGTTACTGACTTTTAGCATTGCTTTCTTATATACAAAGAAAAAAAAAAAAAACATTACCCTGACTGACTAAGCAATGATAAAAAAAGAACACTATTACATTATAACAGTGCATGACCAAAGAAAAGTCATCAAATAGTGCCTAAGCAAATAGGCACTATTTAGCAGCTACTGCAACATTATGAGCCCAAAGAATTGGACCTGGTGAATACTTGAACATGCTGAATGATCAGGTTATTCCATCAGTGGATGTGTTTTCTTCTCTGATGGCAGTAATTCCCAGATGACAATGCCAGCATTTATGAGGCTTGAATTGTGAAACAGAAGTTCAGGAAGCATTAGCGATCATTTTTACACATGGATCGGTTCCCACGGAGTCATGATGACTATTGTTACAGTAGGAGGAAATAGAGGGAAGCTTGCCAAATTTATAAAACCATTCTGGGTCACAAATAGACAAATAGCTCTTCTAAATAGACAAAATTAAGTTAAAAAGTGGCATACAGACAACAAAGTGAATGTTTTGAAGTTACCATCATAAAGTTCTGATCTCAGTCCCCATAGAAAGTGTTTACTCAAGTTGAAAAGGTGTAAAAGATTCAAGCAGCTGACAGTTAAAGAAGTTGCATGAAATGAAGAAGAAAGTTATATATAAAAAAGATCCTGTAGTTATTCTGGAATTTACCTTAAAAAGATCATTTTCAAACTGAACTAAAACAACAGAGAATCCCGAATGATTTAATAATCACATTTTACACACATCGCTTGTTGTCGACTTGTAATATTACTTTATTCTCGCCTAATAGAATTTTGGCTTCACTTCATTGTGTGTGAAATAATATTTAAGACATTATGCATGTTTTTGTCTTATTTTTAAAAACTATTACAAGAAGCTATTTTTGCCTCCTAGGCTGAGCCTCTGAGAACCATGACTCTGCAAACTCCTCGCACATCAGCATTCACCTTTCAGTCTGCGTTGCACAGTGCCCACGTTCTCCAGTGTCTGAATGAGCAGAGGCAGCAGGACATCTTGTGCGACGTGACATTGTTGGTGGAGGACCAGAGTTTTCGGGCCCATTGCTCGGTCCTGGCCTCATGCAGCGAATACTTTCGCAGTAGGGTTATTAGTGTCACCAGACAGAATCCCATCATCACCTTACCTGAAGAGGTTGGTGCGCCAGCATTCACCTAAATGATTTTATAAAACTGCTAGTTGTGTTCTGTAGATTATGTTAAAGCATCATCTGTTTGAGGTTTTTCAGAATTTGATCATGTTGCAACCACAAACGTCCACATTTGTACTTTATGTGGTGGACCAACTCAAAGCATGGCTATTTATTCCAAGCTTTGTGCTTCTCATGGTGGGTTACAGTATAACTACAAACTTCCAAGATATAGCTGTCCACCAACTGACTTCCTGAGAACGACAAGACAGTTAAACATTCAGTTCTGGGGAAGCTGCAAAGATCCCCATCTCCTGGAGTTTGCCTGTTCTGTAAAAGAGGGAAGAAGGAAGTTATTATGAAAACAAAGCAGAAAGAAGTCTTACTCATATTTCCGTTTGTATGTTCCACTAGTCTGAAAACAAAACTTCCAGAAAACTGCAAAACTGCTGAAACACTGACTAAAAACCCACTGTTTTAGAGTTGATGTTAATAACACCTGGAACATTGATCAATATATTTGATGTATATATGTTTGATGATTTTGATGGTGGCATTTGACAAAATGGAATGTTTATTTCTTGTTTCGTAATTGGGAACTGTGTTGTGTTTTTGTGGTGTAAAACACTTTGCCTTGTTGCTGAAATGTGCAATACAAATACACTTGACTCATTTGCAGTTTGCTGCTAACCATGTAGGAGCCACAGCAAAGATACTGTTATCAGTTTACTTCTGATCAGAGACCAAACGTGAACTTTGTGATTTTCTTGCACAGTGCTATGTGTCAGGAAACCAACACTGTGCATCACCTAAACAAACCAACCCCACAATGAAAAATAGTAGAAGCAACATACAATGACAAGTTTTTTCAGCAGAAGCATCAAAACTGGTCAGCGTAAGATAATTCACGCTAACATATGAGAAGAAAATGGTCAGAGGTTGCAGAATTGTTCACTTATGAATTACTTTGTGTTGGTGCATCACATAAAATCCCAATAAAATGCATGGAAGTTTGTGGTTGTGACTTGACAGTATTTAAGAGCATGCTATGTTAAAGTTTCAAAAAAATAAATAAATGCAGTTATTTTTATTGTAATAACCAGTGCTTCTTTACAAGGTTAGCCAAGTTTTATTTCAGCTTCTTATGGCAGTGATGCTTCTGGTTTAACAAATGTCTGTTTTCCACAGGTGACCGCAGAGGGGTTTGAACCCTTGCTTCAATTTGCCTACACGTCAAAGCTGCTTTTCACCAAAGAAAACATCCATGCCATTCATACCAGTGCTGAGATTTTAGGATTTCGCAACTTGGAGTCAGGTTGCTTTGATTTCCTCATCCCCAAGTTTTTAGAGAGTAAGAAAGCCTCCCAGGAGGTCAGGAGTAAGAGCTGCTGTCGAAGCTCAGAGCCCGGTACCAGTTCGGACTCTTGTGTAGAAGGTAGCCATGCAAAATCATTTGAGTCAAACAGCTCAGCGCCTTCAGGGGGTGATGAGCAAACCGACTTCTCATCACAGTGCCCTCAGAGCACACAGGGTCAGACAAACAGTGGGGAGGAACACTTTTGTTTTGAGAACTGTGGGCCGCAAATGACTCCCTTATCTTTAGAGTTAGCAAATGGCGTGTGCCCCCTGTTGTCTCTGCCGTGCCCAGGCCCCGACAAATCCGATCATTCCTCTCATTTTTGCGAAAAAGACATTTTACAGCTGGGAGATGTAAGTGATAGAAGTGAGTTGAGTGTGGTAGGGTGTGACGCACGATGTGAGCTGTCAACACCAGGGGATGAGAATCCGCCAGAAATCACTGAGCCAGAAAGCGCAGATAATGAACCGACTGTTGAGACGCTTGGTGCTGAAGCCAGCTGTACCCCAGCCTCCTGTCCACTGAAGACGTCAAAGGCAGAAGATTGTACAGCAGTATTACAGCAGGGTCAGGTTTGTGCTGGCGAGTTATCAGGACCTGCCTTAAACCCCCAAAGCTTAGAGGCAGCGAATGGAGAGCGCAGCCGCGTAGAGAGGGAAGTGGCCGAACATTTAGCTAAAGGGTTTTGGTCTGACCTGTGTCCAGGTCAGTCTCCACCGCCATCCCTTGATTCGGCAAGCCAAAACAATTTGACCAAGGCCTCAGACTTTCACTGGCTCAGACACCTGGACCTGAACTCCAGCGTAGGCGACTGTCCCTTCCTACGGGACCTTGATACAGATGACGAGCCTGGTACACATGCTGACAACTTTTGCCAAGCAGAGAAGAGTCCCTGCATGTCCTCCCCACTCAATTCTGGGGATGAAAGTGAGCTGGAAACAGACGGGGACACTGAGGCCAATCACAAAAGAGCAGCAGAGGTCATCGTCATAGACAGGCAATTTTTATTCTATAAGTTTAAATAGATAAAAGTAAATCTAACATCTCAGCCTTTTATTTTATAGATTCAGCTCCCATTCCCGGTGGAGCAGATCTCTGAACTGAGCAGAAGTGCATTCCAACAGCTCCTTAGAGACCATCGCCTGACAAAAGAACAGCTTGAGTTTGTCCACGACGTCCGCAGGCGAAGTAAAAACCGTGTTGCAGCACAGCGCTGTCGGAAGAGGAAGCTCGACAGCATACA